TTTTTCCCTCGCGGCGCCTGGAAGCCACAAGTGGGCGCAGCGGGCGCATCCGGGAGCCGGGCGCCCCAGACACTCCCCCTGGAGGCCACTCGCAAGCGCCTCCCACCAGCCGCGCGCGAGCGCTCGCGGGCGCACTCACGGGCCCACGCAGGCTCTCCACGCGGCGCGGAGGAGCCCAGCGTCCCGATGCCAGCAAGGCCCTTCAGGAGCCCCGCGTCCGTCCGTGCCCTGCCTGCGAGCAGGGCCAGACCTCAGCCCACCAGGGAGGACCTCAGCCCCTTGAGGGCCTGCAGCGAGGACTTTCTGAAAGCCCCCCTGAGCTACTCCTTCGGAGTGGAATAAATCTCGCTTCTAAGAGCTCTTTCACTCATCTGCTGTGAGGACTCCAAGCTGTTAAAGAGGCTCCAGAAGACCACCCCACCAACTGTTTGAAGGCCTCTGAAAAGCCCACAGCCCAAATTCAAGAGTATATTAGCCTCAGCTCCTTTCTTCCACCCAGAAAGTGCCTGGTCCGTGTCCTCTGTATAAGTTCAGTTAGAGATGCAAATGCTAGACTCCCGGCACTTGGCGGTAACCTTGGCGCACTCTGGCCCCACTCCCAGCTGGTCACTCCAACAGGTGTCTGTGGACATCCCAAGCTCCCCACTACTGAGGTGGGTTTCGTTAGTTTAAAAAACACTCCAGCCCTGGCCAGGTCGCTCAGCTGGTTAGAGCATCGCCCCACTAGACCAAAGTTGTGGATTCCATGCCTGGTCAGGGCACATACAAGAATCGACCAATGAATGCATAAATGCATGGGACAGCAAATCTCCCTCTCTCTCTCTCTCTAATAAAATGAAAAAGCTTTAAAAAACACTCCCAAGTCATTCTGAGCTAAAGTCTCAAATTAACTGACACCGGGTTTACCCATCTCCAGTGCAGCCTGTGAGGATGAGGGAAGCATGTGAATGCTCCTGTGGACTGAGGAGACCCCCAGCTCAGAAATCAAAAGCTCTGTCTTCTGGTTCTGCTCTTGCCCTGAGCAGCTGTGTGCCTTTGGGCAGGTCCACACACAGACTGCTATCAGTGTCTGGCTGAGCATCAGCATCTCTGGAACAACCGTGCGCCCTCCTGAGGCTATTGCTTTGAAGAGAACATTTATCAGGTATCATGTTCTCCTGGGCTACTTAAAAATCTATTTTGATCTTTCTGGTCCCTCTGAGCCATTTCCCCACCCCACCTCACGTTGCTCCAGCCTCTTCCTTCATCAGTGTATTTCCCAGGGATTACAGAAGATCTAGCACCTGGTAGGCCTTCAGTAAATATTTGTAGAAAAGATAAAGAGCTTGAAGCAAACTTGACCCAGGAGAGAAGGGGGAGAGGGAATTCATTTATTGGGCACCTACTCTGATGCTCAGGCACCCTGCCTGTGCTCCTTCACTTACTCCTCCCTATGGATTGGTGATTATTCTCCCATTATACAGATGAGAAAACAAAGGCTTTGAAAATGTAAGGTGCTTTCCAGTGTCCTCCACCCATATGACAGAGCCAGACTCCCCCTCTCACCCAGTCCTGGGGCTCTGGGAAGCGGGCAGTGAAGGCAGCATTGACAGCTAGCTCCTGGCCACAGCCTCCACTGGTTTCCTGGGCCCTGACAGCCCTCCCTCCCCCTCCCTAGGGCCACACCTAGAGCCAGTGAGCCACAGTGACTCTAGGAGCCACATTGCCAGGTTCCAGTCCTGGCTCTGCAAGTTTGTGCTTGTGTGACCTTGGGCAAATTGCTTCATCTCTCTGAGCCTCAGTCTCCATATGTGCAGAATGGGAATGACAAAAGTACCTACCTCGGAGTTATTCAGAGATTAAATGAGTTAATTAATATAAAGGCCTTAGAACAATAGCTGGCTCAGTAAAGGTTAGCTATTACTATTAACATGGATACTTTAGACCTCCACCATCATGCTTGACACTGAGATGACACAGATGGGCTGTAAGCAGAGCGGGGGAGGTAAATTTATGATTTGTAAAAGAGAGACCCAAAGATCACCCACATGCTCTTTCTCTAAAGCCTAGAAGGCCGACCACACTGTCCTCCCACATTCCCCTCAGGCTGCCCTCCTCTGGCTCCCTGCCCTCTATTAAGATTCCCCAGGGTGTCTCCGGTCCCCAGCTCCACCGGGACAAACATTTTAGGGCAGACACTCACTCTGTTAGAATTTCCTAGCCTTGCAGACCACCATCCCCAAGTCCGGTCTTCTTGCCCCTGCAGGATCTGGACAGGGAAGCAGCACGGAGGAGCAGGTGTGAGACCCAGGTTTTCACCCTCGCAGACCTCAGGCAGAGCAGCGTTTCCTGGGGATGGGCACTCCCAGAAGCGCAGATAGCCCTGCAGGGAGGAGGCCTCCTTCCCAAGGCCGGCCCTGCGCCAGGGGCAGGGAGAGCAGAGCTAGAGAGGACAGGGAGGCAGCCTCTCATCCCCGACCTCAGAAGTCACGAGGTCCTTCCCCTGCCAGCCCTCCTTCCCTCCCAGTGACAGAGCCAGACAGAGTGGCCTCCTGGAGTGTCTGCTGCCTTCTCACCCCCCTGGCTTCTTCCCTGAGTGATCCACATCATCAGTGACTACCTTCTCATTAATATTAAGTAGGATCTTTATTAGCGTATTGCCTTCCATTTTGACCATAGTTTTACATTCAAGGCCTAATAATAACTCAAATCTGCCCCAAATTGCCCTTAGTATTGCAGCCTGCATTTCTTCCACCAACATCCATAGCAACCAGTCACCTCCACATTCTCACCCCCAAAGCCCAGTGGTCTGTGACACACAGTTTGACACTTTATCACACGCTGTTTTGTTCGGTTCTCTCGTCCTACTGCAGAGTCTTCAACCTGGGATGCCTGTCTCTGCTCATCTCTCTAGACTCATTCCTAATTTTCCTTCAAGTCCTGGCTAAGTGTCACCTTTCTGTCCAAAGTCTTCCCTGAACCCTCCTCAAGAAGAGTGAGCAATTCCTGAGGATAAAGAGTACCTTGAATGGCCCTGGCCGGGTGGCTCAGTTGGTTAGAGTGTCATCCCATACACCAGAACAAGGTTGCGGGTTTCATTCCCGGTCAGGGCACGTGTGGGAGGGAACCTATCGATGCTTCTCTCTCACATCGATGTTTTTCTCACTCTCTCTCTCAAAATCAAGAAAAACATATCCTCGGGTGACAATTAAAAAGGAGTACCTTGAATGTACATACCACTGCAGTCGTGCATCATGACTAAATGTTTCCTTGTTAGCCTCCCCCACCAGGCTTCGAGCTCCCATAGGGCAGAAATCAGGTCATTCATTCATTCATACATGTGTCATTCATTTGTTCAACAAGCATTCATTGACT